GTAGCCTGGCCATTCCCCTGGAGGATTATTTCTCACTTTTCCTCTCACTGTCTCTCTTCTCTCCGGGCAAGTGCACATGCCCTAAAAAATCCTTAAAACAAACAAAGAAACAAAAAATTCAGTTCTGTTTAAAAGGCTATTAAAGTGTCTCAGATAATTTAAACTTGACATTGGCAAGGATGCTTCTGGAGTAGCATAATACCCTGCACTTTTCCTGGTCTCTCAAAGAGGGTGAATGCAGCAAACCTTTGACTTTATGGCATCTTACTTAAGAACAGAGCAAATTAGCAAATGAATGTCTCCAAGAAAAAAAGAACACATTCAGAATGGTACTGGGCCCTGGGAATCCTTTCCTTTGTGTCAGGAAGAAGTAGGCCACATTTTAAATCTCTGTTTATCATCCACACATAAACCAAGGTGAATTAAGAAACGGCAGCAAGAGGGACCAGCAGATGGAATAATGATTACGTCACTGGATTCCCGCTTAGTTGACCATGGTTCATGGTTCGAGTCCTGGGCTGGGCGACTTCAACGCATGCCGGCTACGTTTGCGTGTGTGCCCAAGATCCCAAGAGGAGAATGGAGGAGAAGGGATTACAGTGTGGATATCGCCCCTGAAGGGTAATTTCTTGCTTTCTGTCTCTGTCTCTCTGGCGAGTGCATGTGCCCTATAGCAAAAATCTCTCTCTAAAGAAAAAGAAATGGCAGAAAGAAACATGGTGACATGGGAATACCCATAAGCAGAACTTATCAGAAACTGTACACCTGGGAATGAAAAAGCAGTTTAGCTCCCAAGCAAAGCACAGATAGGTGGAATGTTCACAAATGTTAACTACAGTCAAACAATCTAAAGTTTGAATAGAGTAAGAAACTATAATTAACAATATTTCCCTACCTGCCCACAGATAAGTATCACCACAAATTTTGGGCAAGTCTGCATTCAGGTCACTTTGTACAGATCCATACACAATCTGCCCTGTGCAATAACAGCCTTTCACACTCCTCACCTCACTCAAATCATTTAGGTAGATTAGGTCTTTCAGCTTTTAGTTAAAACAAATGATACTTTAAGGAAGGGCTACACGAAGGGCTACACTGTGCTTTCCACAGTTCGAGTGTTTATAACTGATATTTTCCATTTATTCTTAGCTTCAATGATTTTCTTAGACATGCCATGAAATAAAAAAACATGTTTGCCAACATCCATGGGACCCTGCAATGTTCTAATTCATGTAAGATTCTTACAGTGCTCCAGAAACTCTGCAGACTTACCTTTCTGTTATTATCACAAAGGCATTTTATTATTATGAAGGCAACAGGAATGTTTAAACTGATACTTCTATTTTGAGGAAAACCATCGATTTTCCTCAGCTTTGGATCTTCTTTTTCCTTCATAGTTAGTTGAAACCAGATTATGAAAGAGAAAGTGACTAACGGTAGAGATAAGTGCAGACAATGCATTTGTATAATGTTTTTCCTATTTAAAAATCATGGGACCTGCAGATGGCATACTGGTTACATTGCTGTACTCCCACATGGCTGACCACAGTTCGAGTCCTGGACCCAGTGGCTTGAAACTCATACCAGGTGCATGTGCGTGTGTTCCCAAAATTCTGAGTGGAGAATGGAGGAGAAGGGACTGCGGCATGGCCATCCTCCTGGAGGGGGATTTCTCACTTTCTGTCTCTCTGTCTCCAGTGAGCACATGCACCCTATAGCAAAAATTTCCCAATAAATAAATAAAATGAAATAAAAATCACTACAAGAAAGGAAAAGCGGAAAATGGTCCCGCAGTATCCAGTACTTCCACACCAGCATACACGTTTGTTGTGCTGAGTTACCCAAATATTAGGAGCCCGAATGTCAAGACAAAGTGGACAGATTGAACGCTAAGTATACTTACGGTAATTTCCATTTTTCTTTTTTAAAATGTTTCATTACCAGAGGGTACATGTGTTTGCAAGAGGGAGAGAGAGAAACAGAAAGTATCCCCAGGGGGTGTGGTGAGCTCACAATACCTTTCCTTCTTTTCTCCATCCCATGATGTTGGGTCCAGGATTTAAATCATATTCAACCATGTGGGATTGGGCTCACTACACACAGTGCTTAACGACTGTGCTATGGGACTGGCCCAATTGCCATTTTCTAACAATAACTAGTTGAACATTGCTATGAGATCAGATGATAAATGCAGTAGTTAGCATACAAGAAATTAATGGAAACATGGAATGCATAGGAGGCACTGAGTTAATATGAATGCAACAGTGTCAATGATAATATTCAGAAACTCAGTCTTAGCCAGCTAAGAACTTAATACAAACAAAATTGAAAATGTGCAAGGTTATTACTGTTGAATATGTTTTTAACAGAGCTGAGGTCATCCCATACAGAGCTGTTGTTATTGCACTGAGCATCACTTGACCAAGGCAGCCACTAAGAGAGACAGAAAATAATATTGACAATAAGAAGACGATGAACTCTTCATGGCATTAAGGAGTGATGTTAAGAGATTAAAAATAGGGAAAAAAAAATAATCAAACTGTAAGTGTATTCACCATAAAGAATGGCCTCAAATGAGGGAGCTTTCTGTTTTCAATCTGCTAATTTTCTACAATGTCCCATGTCATTCATAGATCATAGTAACTCAGGTCAGACAAGAGCACATTTAATCTGTGGGATCTTCCCAGCAGATGCAAAGTGATGCCAATTACCCACAACTGCTTATGTGAAGACAACTGAAGGATCGTGATTCCTCGTCAGAATAACAAGCTGCATCTATTAGAGTAGCTGTAATGTTTTGCTTTGCTCCTTTCTCCCATTTTCTTTCACAAAGTGGGTGAGTTTACAAGGTCCTGGACGATCGTGTTGCCTGGGTGATGTCACCTCTCAAGTGTGTACTGTCAGGAGGAAATGAATGTGTTTTATGAACTGCCTATTATACACCACTCACGACTGGCTAGCAAAGGGTCTATTAAAAGAGAACCAGCTTCAGGACAAAGTATATGTAACAATGCTCCTTGATGCTTGTAACCTGGACAGAGAGCTATAAAGTATGGGCTGAGCTATTCTAGAGAGGGGAAATAAAGAGTCTGATCTAGCTCTTTTAACATCTTCATCTTCAGTCTTCAAGTCTAAGAACTGTTCCCTTCCTGTTCTGAGAAGCAAGCCTCTTCTCCCAGCTTAGCCAGGGACCCCCTCCTTGTTTGCCAGAGCGTCATATCTACCCTCATATAATCAGAGCACTTACTGCTTTGTCTTCTGCAGTAGACAGAGGGTCCCAAGGGGACAAGGACTTTGACTTTTTTCATCATAATATTTATAAAACCTGTACAAGGCCAGGTTCATAACAGGAACTTAGGAAATATTTACTGAGCTGATATATTTGCAGAGACTGAGCTAGGAAATATTCTTCCCTCTTGTTTATAAGAGGAGAAAGTACAGGCTTTGCATGCTCTCGTGCAGTCATTGAGTTTCAAAGACATAGTAGACTTGTGTGGAATGCTAGAGCTACTATAATAAAGCGGTACCATAAAAATTACAATGCAGTTTGGTAAATGTTGCTAAAGATAAAGATATTAAGGATCAAAAAGAGTAAGGGGGGCAGCAGGTGGTGTAGTTATTAAAGCATTGGACTCTCATATGGCTGACCACAGTTTGAGTCCTGAACCTGGAGGCTTGAAATACATGCCAGGCACGAGGGCATGTATTTCATGAGAAGGGATCGTACATGGCCATCCCCCCGTTAGGGAATGGATGAGAAGGGATCGTACATGGCCATCCCCCCGGAGGGTGATTTCCCACTTTCTCCCTCTCTGTCCCTCTCGGGTAAGTGCACACACTGTATGGCAAAAACCTAAAAACAAGGGACCAGAAGATGGCAAAATAGTTACATTGCTGGACTCCCATGTAGTTGACTGCAGTTTGAGTCCCAGACTGGGCAGCTTAAAACTCACGGTGGGCACATGTGCATGCATGCCCAAGATCCCAAGAGAAGAATGGAGGATAAGGGATTATGGTGTGGCCATACCCCCTGGAGGGTGATTTCTCACTTTCTGTCTCTCGACCAATCACACACACCCTACAGCAAAAATCTCTCTTAAGAAAGTGGAGATACAGTAAGAAAACTATCAGAGAAGGCTCCTCAGGAGTTAACATTTTAGTTTGAGTAGTGATGGTTGAACAAACACAGAAAAAAGAGAAGCGGATTTGTAGGCAGAGGTGAGGGAAACAGGGCACATTCAGTAATGAAAGGTAACTCGTGTCACTAGAACACTGGGCATACAGAGCCCAGCTACGGCATGGGACTGCTCCATGACACTGGGGCTTGGGTTTAGATCTCGGGTTGACCTGAGCATGTCAGTTGTGCTGATGCTTGCCAGTGATCCTGGCTGGCTAGGGGCTGGGGGAGGAGCACAGTGTGGGGAGAGCATGTCAGAAGAGTGTGTGTGTGTGATGAGAAAAACAGATACAATTTTAAAAATAAGGGAAAGTGGGCATAGAGGAAAGGATCATGACAGAGGTAGAGCTGGCAGGACAGGTTAGAAGCAGGTTACGCTGTGATTAGAAAACCAGAATCTGGGCTTTATCTTCAGTGGAACAGGAACCAATGAAAGGCTTTTAAGCAGAAGAGTGATGGGATCAGACGTTTGACACCTGATTCTGCAATTATCCAGAAAGTGAGTGGCTCCACTCACTGAGGCTTGAGAAACTATGAATAAAGAAGCTGGAGTCTTAAGTTTGGAACAATGATCTAAATATCCATTAGCTAAATCAGTGGGAGAAAAGGTGAAACTAAAAAGATAAATATTCCCTTCCCCTGGGTTACTTACACCCTACTTCACTGACACAGGTTGTCAACTCTGACAAAATGGACTTCATTTTTCTCTGAAGCCTAATGTTTTAATAACAACATTTTTACTCTTTTATATTTATAGTAATTTGGTAATGATAATAATTTAGGAGTAGGCAAGTAGTATTGTAAATGGAAGGACTTTTCATACCTGAGACACTCTGCCTGTTGGAATCTGAGTCCCCATTACTGGAGCTAGAATTGTTGGAGGAGTTGTTGTCCACACCTCCCAGAAGGGGGCGCAAGTGGCTTACTGAGACTTGCTCAATGAATGATGTTCCATACTTGCGAAAATACCACCATTCAAATATCTAGAACAGAAAAATAAGAGTTTATGGTCTTTGTTACCGTTCATTATTTCTGTACTTGAATCCAGAAAATATATTTACTAATTTTATCCAACTAAAATATTTAGACAGTATCTGTTTATTCTAAAACTTAAACATTTTAATAAAATTAAAATAGCAATAACATTTAAAATGCTCAGCATGACTTTCTGCTTACTATTGGTTAAAAATTAAAAAAAAAACTTTTTAAAAAAGTACAATCATAACTAAAAGAATAACTCTGGGCCAGGCAGATGGTGTAGTGGTTAAGGCAGCAAGAGTCCACATGGCTGACTATGCAGTTCTATTGTGAGACCTGGTGGCTTGAAAAACACAGGGAGCACATGTGCCCAAAATCCTGAGAGGAAAATGGAAAAGAAGGGATTGTGGCATGGGTCATCCCCTCTGGGGGGTACTTTCTCATTTTTTATCTCTCTCTCATTCTCTCTCTCTCTCTCTGTCTCTCTCCAGAAAGCACACAAGCTCTACAGTAAATTAAAAAGAGAGAGAGAGAACACTATTGAGGTATGTTCAAAATTATTTTCTTCCAAACATATATATAATATTTAATAGCAAAATCTCTCTAGTTGAAAGACAATTCCAGAAATGTATATAACATAAGCCAGTTTTCAAACAACGGCTTATGAAAGATTCTAAGTCGATGCACTTTATACGTTGATAAAACCACTCCTGCATTAAGATTTTAAGAGCAAAAATACATTTTAAAATGAATACTTCATTGGAGAAATGCTATTATATAGGCGAAATGAACAAGATGTGTCTCATTTCAGGCATGGAAGGCACTCCACTGCTGAGACTCAGTGGTGTCCCGTTTGCTAAGACATCTTCAACATGAACACCTGTTTGACACCATGAGAAGAAATCGTATTATGTATCCTCATGCACCCTCAATTTTCACACCAACCCCCGGGAAATATCTAACTCAGCGTCTGCTGCAGAGCTGGTTCTCAAAAGTTATAGCAGGCCCAACCTAGGTGACACAGTGCAGAGCAAACTGGACTGCAGTGATGGAGGCCACATGGCTGATTTGGGTTCAAATCCTGGGTCACCAAGGACACACACGGGATATGCACACAAATGCCCAGGATCCTGACAAACTAAAGGGCTAGAGAAACAGGTTCACAGCATGATGAGACCGGCCAAGGCTTCTCTCCCTCTCCCTCTTTCTCTTCCTCATGCATGTGCATGTACTATTGTTACAAAAAAAAAAAAAGTAATAGCAAAGCCATCATTTAGTATGTTAATGAAGTGCATGCCTCCCAAAAATAGCACAACTCACATACTGCTATGAGGCATCCTTTTATTTCTCTCCTCTCTCTCTCTCTCTTGCCAGTCTATAAACAACATCTCGTCTGTTGCAGGGTTATAGTGGAAAGCCCTGGAAGTCCCTGTAACAGCGTATGCTCATCACACAGTCCTGGGCACTTAAAATGTCCTGCGTCCTGTACGGTATTGCTGGAGCGCTAGACGCATTCACTCCATTGCACAGCACTGCTGCTCTAGCCCAGTCAAGGGCTTGCTCCAGCGTGACAGGGATTTGGCCCCTGTCACTACAAGTCCAGGCTGCAGAGCCAACACCTCTCACTGGTTGTTCCTGGCACACACACACAAAACCTGGAGCCTCTTCAGAGTTCTCACTTCCTCCCACAGAACCATAGATGGCTTACACAAAAAGGGACCTTAAATAACTATGTACAGGGCCTGACTACAAAGGAGTAATGAGAATTATCCATCAAGATGCAGTGGTCTAACCAAAGTCCCACAGCTAATTAAATAGTTGTTTAGCCTCAAGTCCTAGTTCTCTGCCACTAATCTTACCAGGGCCATAAAACGGATCCCTTTTAATAACTCCCTTGCTTCATTTAAACAAACACAGACGGACATGAGCTATCATTTTCTTTTTCAAATTATTACTTCCAAGTGCCCTTTGACCCTGTCCCTCTATGTTTTCTCAGTTATAAAACTCAGTCCAGAATAGTTCATCAGATGGGACCAGATAATTCATCCTAAAATGTAAGTAATTCTTACTAACTAGACATTTGCTTTCTAATAGAAGACAGTCTATCCACCCAGTATTTCCGATGCAGTAATAACAGAACTCAGTAAAGACTAGCTTATTCACAGAGCGAAGGGGAAACAGAAGGGTCTTCTCAGGCCTGCCATATACAGCAGTAGTATAAGCTCTGCTGTATATAGGGTGATGTATAGGGGACACTAGTATAAAGAAGAATCTTCGTGTGAATAGGGGACATCAGGATACAGAAGAAATGGCTGTTTACAGGAGACACTGGTATAAAGGGGAACCTCCATGGTGTACAGGAGACTTCAGCATAAAGAAGGACCCCTGTGCTTCTAAGATATATTGAATGAACAACTTGGAAAAAAAAGAAGGATAGGACTTAAAAGTCTTCTGCAACCTTAAACCAAGTCTTCCAATTTGAGGTTTTAGCATAATAGTCTTCCTTTTATGCTAGAACATGCCAGGCTTTCCATGAGCATCCCACAGTATTTTAAGAGCTGGACAGATCCAAATAGGCAGATGGTGTTATTTAATGGGCACATAGTTGGTGTCACTTTGAATTTTTTCCCTGGTGCAATGTAAACAGAAAAGCTCTCATAAACAAATGTAGATTTTTTTTTTTTGAAAGCCCGAACGCAGTCCCCCACTACCACAAATTATGCAGTCGAGTTTCCCACATTTGGGGAAATTGCAGGGGTCAGCACATCCGGAGTGCAATGGATAAGCCTCGCCCTGGGAAAACCACCTTCGTGATCATGGTATCTCCCCTGCCAGGTAAGTATAATAAACAAATGTAGATTTTAAAAGTATTTCTTAGACATGATAGTGGCTTAGTGGGCCTGTCACAGAGGAATAACACAAGTTAAAAATCTGACATACAACCAAGAATATTAAAACCTAAATTTATGCATTTCATAGTCTAGACTTAATTTTCCTAGTGCTTTGTTTCCTATTTATGTCCATCCCAAGAATTATACAGATCAAGTAAGATGAGAACTAAAAAGCATAAATTGGGTTTGGAATTTAGAAAGTCAATAGTGGCCCTAAATTCTAGTCCAGTGACACAAACCCGTCAAACTATACAGATAGGTTGTCTGACCTTAGTAGGAGCTCCTGATTCTCGGGAGCTCTGTTTGCTGATGTGTAAAATAAAATTAAGCTCTCCGTCAATGTTGGGTGGATGGAGAGAAGAATGGGAGAACGGAAGATTAAAAGACTGGAGGGACGGATGATTAGAGGTTGGCTGAATTATGAGGGCTGGCTCAGATGATATAGCAGAATATACTATAAATAAACAGCAGGGTCAATAAAAAAGCTTTGTGTCCATTTTGTTATAAAAAGAGAGAGGTTTACACATGGTTGCAGAAGGAAAAAAATCCAGTGGAAAGAGAAAGTGAAAATGTAAAAGAATACAGAAAACCAAGAGACATGACACCAACAGGTCAGAAAGTATATCCATCCTACCTTGAAAAGGTAGTCTACCACTCCTTGCTCTGAGACAGGAAGAATGAGAAAAATAAATGAATAGAGGGAGACGTTCTATTTCGCTTTTTTTTTTAATTGCCAGAGGGCAAGTGTAGTCACCAGAGAGAGAGACAGAGAAAGCACCCCCCAATGGGAAATGGCCACATTGTAATCCCTGCTCCTCTATTTCTCCGTCCTGTTGGGATTTGGGGCACGCACACGCATGCACACAAACACACACACACACACACCAGCCATGTTTTTCAAGCTGCCAGGCCCAGGACTCGCCATAGTTGACCACATGAGATCTGACTCTTTTAACCTCTAGGCTACAATGCTGGCCTGAGATATTATATTTTGAAAAGTAGGGTGTGATTGTAAGCTATACAGGTAAGGAAGCAGGGAAAGAATAAAAACTCAGTGATACTGATCTCAGTGGAGGTGCAGGGAAGATTTATCTTCTGAGAAAAAAAGGAGGTGGGATGGAATTGAAAGTATGAAGGTCAAGAGAGTAGTTTGGACCTCTATCTTGCAGGACAGAGGGGCCATAAGCTATGCACAAAACCCAGATCATATTTAAAACAAAGATCCATTTGGCAAAGATACAGCTACCAATGCCTGCTGACCACCTCCATCGCTGTTCAGAAAGCAGAGAGGATAACCAAGGAATACTGGAACTAGGGGCAGAGGTGAAGGATGGCAGCTGGCCTGAAGTAAAATCTTCCGTCTTCTTTTCCCAAAGAAAGGGAGCTAAAATCTGGCAAAAGGACAAGAAACAAGTCCCTCCTATCCATTTCACAGAGTTAAAAGTTCAATCATTCCTGAAGATGTCTAGATTCTTCCCATCCAAGAAGATCTCTTCTTCTGGATTACTCTATACATAAAACACTTCTCTACAAGTCAGAGACTTCCCTATACTCTATTGCACTAAAAAAAATGTTTTTTCCCATAGAGCAGAACCTTAGTAATTCCACACCAATTCTATTAAACCCACTGGAAACAGAAAGATGCAAAAGTCTAAAATTGGGTAAGTGTTTCCTAAGACTTTAAGTAGAAGATGAGGCCAGATACAGGGATGGTAGAGATTGAAAAGGGAATATGAAACTTCCTGGCAATCAACTTCCAGATGGAAAGACTTCCAAACTCACACCTGCTCCAAGTCTTCAAAATTATATCTGGTGGTGGGAACCAGCAGTTAGCGTAATGGCTATGTCGCTGGACTCCCACGTAGTCGACTGCGGTTCGTGTCCCGGACCCGGTGGCTTAAACTCACGCCGGGTGCGTGTGCGTGCGTGCCCAAGATCCCGAGAGGAGAATGGAGGAGAAGGGATTGCGGCGTGACCATCCCCCCTGGGGGGTGATTTCTCACTTTCTGTCTCTATGTCTCTCTCTGTCTGGCGAGCACACGCGCCCTATAGTGAAAATCTCTCCAAAAAAAAAAAATATATATATATATATATAT